ATCTAATGTGGAAGGAGATGTAAACAAAATGGAGCGTGGAGCAAAAACTTGATCTAATGATGATATACATAAGCAGAAGGCCAAACCAGTCTGGATGAAAAAGTAGTCAGTGAGACATAGTCAACACGGGTTATGTATTCTTCAGTGATTGATGAGTTATTGATGATTTTAATAACTCGGCCCAGATGATTCTGGGAGCAGTTGGGGAGGTTTAAGAAGTGCTCTGTAACCCCACACACTACCACATAATCTTGGTAACGACCAAGGTTCCAGACCTGACTTCAAATTCCCTTAGTCTGAGCTGTGGATGTGCTTTAAGGGCCAAAAATACCCCCTTAAATTAAGGAGATGTCCTCATTCCAAAAAAAAAAACCAGACCTCTACTGTGACCTGTGTGTATGTGTTTGCTCGGAGGGGTTACGTGACAGTCACAAGCAAATGAAAGGAAATGCACAGACGGATACACATTGAGAAGGAAAACATCTTCACTTGTCATGCTTTCATCTACACTGCTGTGCCAAAGCAGATGGTGTGTACAACCTTGGGTTCACTTCCTGAAAACAAAGGAACAAAAGGGGGGGAATAAGAGAGAGAGAGAGAGAGAGAGCAAGAGAGAGAGAGAGAGAAGAAAGTGTATCCTGTCTCACATTGTCCATCCCAAAGAATTACTGTCAGCAGAAGACAATGCAGCACTGATGGATTAACGCACACACACACACACACACACGTACGTATTGCCTCTTGTCATTTGTCTGTCCTTATGTTTCCATCTCTCTTCTCTCCATCTTTCCTCCCATTGTTCCTATGGAGCAGTGAGTAGAAACTCTAGCTCGTCCTCGTCTATTGTCAGAAGTAATTTTCAGCCTCTGTCTGCCTACTGAACTTTTAATGACAAACTGACAGAAAGACTGCACTGGCATATGGTCGGTCTGCCATTCCATAGGAGAACATGTATGTGTATGAGGGGGTGGGGTGTGTGTGAGTGTGTGTGTGTGTGTGCCATGTCTTTACTCTAACGGATACAGTACTGCTCACCCTCTTTGATGCATTTGGGATTTAATTAGTTAATCAATCACAATATAAAATCCAGAGAATAAAACTATGGAAAACAGATAAATAATTTCATGAAATGTATTCCAATCAATAACCCACAAACACAACTGACACTAATGACCACAACTTAAGTCTGCAGCTTCTCGTAGGATTAACCCACCCATCAATCATGCTGATCTCTATGCGCTTGTCAGTCTGTACTTACACAACACTGTCCTGCACTGAATATTTAAATAAATATACGTACATTAACTCATCTAATGTGTGGGAACATGTGTGCTGACAAACATTTATCTAAGACTGTAAAATCAATAGCAGCCTCATGTATCGTCTGTACGTCTCGGCATGCTGCAGTTTATAATGGCAATGACGGTGCAGTAAACTCTGTAGAGTCAGACCTCTACAACTCATCACATCATCTGTAAAATGATGATAATTGACCTACCAGTGAAATGTGTTTTATTCTGTCTCACTGGTTTAGTTTCAATGATGTGTATCTCTGAGTTAGATTTCCACTCTTGATTTGTTGCAGTGACGCTGAGGAGTCTTTGGCCTGACAAAGCTTGTAGCAGCGAAAGGTTCCCACAAGCCTGAGTTGCCGCACATACACCTTTTTTTTTTTATCAAGCTGCTGTCATGTTACTTCTCAACTCAAGAGCTTTTTCAAATTTCAAAAGGGAAATACTCTCCACCTTCGTCTTATCAATTTTCATGTTGCTTTCTACAACTTCCACTTAATCGTCTGAGGTGTGCTTAAAGCGACGGGTCACTAGCATCCTAGTATTGTCAGCGCAACTGTCAGTCAATCAGAACTCTGAACCATCACACCCCGTCAGGAGGTTTCTCAGTTACAGACACACGCCTGTCATCTGTCACAGTCCTGATGTGCTGAAATCCACAAACCGTCATGATGCCAATGTCCTGATCATCCCCTCCCATCACTGCTGACACATCAATACATTTTAGCGTTACTGGCAGAAGCTCATCAATGTATCCACCTACTAACTTCACAAATGTCTGTCTATGTATATGTGGAACGCATGTTTTACAGACCATTCATCTAATTGGCTTCAATTCAATTCTATTTGTATAGCACCAGATCTAACATGCATTATCTCAAGGCACTTTATATTGAAGTTCGAGACTGAAACATGCATTGATAATGGCACAGCGAAGTGCAGAGTCAAATTACAAGCGATATGGACACTTTCAATTTTAATTAAATTGGAATAAACAGGCAATCAGCAGTCTGTCACAGTCAGTGGGGGCTGGGCAACTTGCTAACAGTCAGTCTGATGACTGGACATTTCTACATTACCACTAAATTACAGCAGTGGTGTGCACAACCATGGGTCTAAATTCGCCGCCAGATCGTCTTGATAATGCATTTTATTTCACCATATCGACGAGAAAGACATTCACGCGTGTTGCTGGTGTTAATCTGAACAAGAACATTCATAGAATCGCCTCCTCTTCAGTAAAGTTAAAACACAACGTTCGTTTTGTTGCTGCAATGCTTTATATCGAACTGAATTACAGAGCTTTTATTTTGAAAAGTTGTGATCTAGGGTGATCTTTTTGTCGGTTGCTAAACAGACCTCTGAAATATCCAACATGCAACACAAGATATAAGCCACACACCTAAACGGCAATAAAGCAAATATAATTCTATTTTATGAAAAACACGGACTTTAAAATCTTCTTTGCAGATAAACCAGGTAGGATGAACACCAAGGTTTCTAACTTTCCTCTGCACTACACTGTTCATTAAAACCTCCAACACACAAACAATAAAAAATGACAGTACATTATAAAACTGTTTGAGGGGGACTCACTTATGACAGGCAATAATTCTAAAGTAGCTCAGGAGCATTAACACAGACCAACAGGCACTGCACAAGTAGAGAATTCATCAATGTCCATTACAGTCAGTACTTTCTGATGTGTGTTCCTTTATCACAAACACATAAACTTAAGATTCAGACACTATACCGTTATGGATGCTCTAGCTCTACTGAGCTCAAAACAAATGTAAGAAGCTTAACATTATCTTTTCCAATTTCCATGTTGTTTTAAACAGCAAATGCACTTGCGCCCATCAGTTTTTTCCAATGTGGCACCATGCCACAAGCTGCTCACAGCTCTCATTACTGGTCAATACACATCACAGCCCACTTACGTTACATATCGTCTAGACTGCCTCAGAGTCTAGACAATATGTAACTTAAGGAGCAGTTTTTCACTAGTATTGGGCGATGAAATATTACTCCATGCCAAAGATGGCAGATCATTTGTAGGACACATGTTACATACTACACTGTGTTGATATTCAGCTTCTCTCTCATATATTTTCATTTATAGCACAGCACACGCAGCAGCAGAGTAAGACTCTGAGGTCAGCTAAAGGTTGTTTCACACAAAGCCACTTGAATAAATTGTTGCTCGAGAGACTAGGCCTTTCTTCCAAGAATGATAAAAAAAGCTATGAATGAAAAATGTATTTGCAGAACTATTTTGCATCATTAACATATTTTACCATGCACAGACCATGAAGGGTATCCTCATTTAATCCAAGAGGTGTGCAGAATGTTCACGTGGCTGATGCTTAAACGAAGAGCATAAGAACAAGCTGGAAATGTACCTGCAGCAGCAAAGTGATTGAGGTCTGATTTCATGTCTACTCTTACACTGAATTTTATTTAATAGAATATTAAGATCCTGCTGAATAGTTAGCACTACCTCTCTCAGTTAGCGCTACCTCATGCAAAACTTTGTCTTAATACACTGAACACAGACCCCAGCCGGATTTCACAGTGATCTGCAGAGCCTGGAAAAAAAAAAAGTAATGCCACTGTATTTTACATAAGATTCACAGCTCAAGGCTATAAAGAGTCAAACACACAAGTCAGCTGATCAGCAGCACTGTTGAGGTCAAATCCGACTCAGACAATCTGCCCACACTGCAGAGCTGTCTCACCAAACCTCAGAGAGGCAGAGAGAAGAGAGAGGGGGAGAAAGAAAGTGTTTAGGTGTGTGGGAGAGAAGCAGAAGTAAAGACGTGTCCTTTTCCATTCATGGTGTTTGAAAAGAACAGAATCTAAAAACTGAGGAGGAGAGAAAAAGACGGAGAGAGGGACAGAAGAGACAAGTATGAAAAAGTCAGTAAACTCTCAGAAGGTAACTGCAGCATTTATCCATAAATCCTGACAGGTTTGCTTTGTCACATTCAGTTTGAAAGAGCAGCTTCTGTATAATTCTGAGGATCAAATGTGAAATGTGTAGTGAGAGCTGGTTGCAAACATACTGCCGGCTTGGCAGAAGGTGCTTCAGCTGGTCCTGGCAAGAACGGCTTTGTGAAATTACACAACATGAAAGCAACAACAGGCATTAAAGGGGATTTTAAAGAAAGAGAGGAGAAATGTTCTGGCTCTCAGTGAGCGGATTGGTTGTCATATTCAAGATTTTTTAAAACACTGGATAACAAATTCTCTTACTGAAGGTTGGTCAGTGTCAGATTATGAGATCAACCTTTTGTGTAAAATAATTCAATAAAAGAATGAAGCTACCTTAGACAGAACTCATTATAATACAATTTGTACTGACTGATCACCAATCAATGAATATTGCATTTGTTATTATCTAACTTTTAATCCTAAAAAGTGTTTGCAGAACAAGGGGTGTAAAAGAAAGAAAAAACAAAAGAGCAAAAGACAGAGTGAAAGAAAGAAAGAGCGGAAAAAAGAAAGAAACAACGAAAGAAAGAGCAAAAGAGTGAAAAAAGAATGAAAGAGCGAATACAGGAAGAAAGAAAGAAAGACAAAGATATGTTGAGGAAAAAAAAACACGAAAACATCAAAACATCCGCTTGTTTTTCAAGAATCTTCTATTTTTAGTCACTTAACCCAGCATGCACTCACACAAACACACACTAACACACAAACACACACCTGTACTTCATGCCCGTGTGTTTCCCTGTAGACTCCTTGAGCGAGATGTGGCGCGGTGTGAAGGAGCCGAAGCTGCGCGCGATGATGGCCACGGTGCGGAACTTGGCCCGGGCTTGGTTCACCACGTTGGGGCTGGTGGCGCTCTGCTTGCTGTGGTCCCCATTGCCCCGTTTCAGGTTGTGGTCCGTGCAGGCGATGGACACCTGCATGGCTGAGCTTCAAGGCGACGGAGCAGGAGCTTGGAAAAAGTACAAACGGGGAACCGAAGGAGAGCGGAAACAGCCTGGAAAAGTCTCAGAGTGAGTGGTTTTTCAAATCCCTTAATTCAACGTCTCGTCCTTTTGAAGTTCTTGCTGGGAGATGAATGAAGTCTTCAAGTCCTTTCTTCAGTGCATCACGTTGTTGTGTGAAGACTAATCAAATGGCAACGGCTTTTCCTCTGTGTTGTTGCTCTCACATCGACTCTTCCATTTCAAGTCTTTCCATGTAGAGGAGAAGCAGCAGAACCAGTCAACCATCAAAAGCCTGAGAAGAACAAAGCCTCCTCAGTTCTTTCGAGGGTTCACAAAGAATTTATTCCCCCCACCGGTCTACCCCCCGCTCCTGTGTCCTGCCTCTGCTGACGAGTTCGGGAGTTTTTCTATGACAATCAGAGGAGGTGGATGGAGAGAGTGCAGAGGAATGAAACAGAGAGACGACGGGGAGATGCGACCCAGGCGCTTCGCTCTCCCAGGTCTGACTGTGAGGAGAGAGAGAGCAGTAGTGTGTGAGAGAGTGAAAGAGAGGGGAGAGGAGGGTGAAGGAGGAGGAGACAGGGTCGGAGAACAGATAAGGAGACAGAAGGTAGGAGGGAACGAAGGAAGTAAGGGGGGAGTCTCAGGTCTCTGCAGGGTGCACCATCAGTCGTCCACAATCAGCACTTTCTCGTCTTGTCACTACTTCTTTTCCGCGCCTCGCTTCTCTCCTCCTCCCGCTTCCTCTCGTTCCTGGACTGCTGATGTTGACGAGAGTCACTAATGTGCTTGTGCCCCAGTTTCCTCCCCTCTTTTTCTTTCTCCCCTCTCTCCCTCCGCCTTCCTCGCTCTATATCCAATATTTGGATGCTCTGCTCTTTTCTCTCCTTCTTCGTGTTGTTTCTGTTTTTTCTCAGCAGGGCAGCTCCTTCACCGACAGCGCAGCTTTAGGGAACTGAGAGGCATGCGGTGCAGCACAGCCTTCTCTCTCTCTCTTTCTCTCTCGCTCTCTCACTCCCACTCTGTTTCTGTCTCTTTAGCTCCCACTCTACCTGCCTCACTCATCCTCTCTGCACTCGGTTTTCTCACCTGTCACCCATCTTTGAAATTTCCTTCACCTCTTCCTGCACCGACATTTCCATCCAGCAGTAAGCATTTTACTCTTTAGTCCATCTGCACTATGCACATTATTCTCTCCATTATATTTGCATGGCCAGTGGCTGGAGGCATTATGTTTTCATTTTATCTGTTCGTCCGTAATATTCTTGTGAATGCAATATCTCAAGAATGTCTTGCGGGAATTTCTTTATATTTGGTACAAACAATCATATGGACACAAGGATGAACTGATTCAATTTTAATGAGCAAAGGTCTAGGTCACTGTGACCTAATGAATCACATTTTTTGCCTTATGAACTTGGTATCTTCATAACGCCTTGAGGGAATCCTTTCACATTTTGCACAAACAATCGCTTGGACTTAAAGATTAACTGTTTTGTTTGAGTAGCCAAAGGTAAAAGGTCAAGCTCACAGTGGCTTCACACATCTTAAGAATGTCATCAAATTTTGATCTGTTGTCACTTGGAAGCAAAGAGGAAATTATGAGATTTCAGTGGTCAAAGGTAAAGGTCACAGTGACCTCATGTGAATCTGTAAAAAATATATATAATATATTGAAACTGCACTGGTTGGCGAAGGCATACAACCACAGTCTTCAGAAGCCAATGTGTTTTGTTCATTTTCTGAATGTACATATACACAAGTGATAGAAAAGCTACAGTCAGAAACATTTTTGCTAATATTTCATCATTTTACCCACAATGTCCCCTCACACACACTGTACATGCAGCCCATAGGCAGCTACAAATCAAAGAGACGAGGATGGGTGAACAGGATGGGGGAGGTGTGCACTGATCAGAATCATGTGAAAATGACTAAAAACAGCAGACTGAGATGTAACAGCTGAAGAGAGGGCATTATTGCTCCTGTGTGTGTGTGTTTGATTACAGCGCATCCAAGTGTGTGCCTGTATGAGAATGACTCTGCACGCGTGTGTGTGTTTGCAAAGCAAGGTGTTTGTTTTTTGCTCTCCAGTAATTCTATTAGGGGTGTCAAGCTGAGGTAAACAGAGCATTTTGCTGCGGGGTCCTTGAACCATCTGTGTGTGTGTGTGTGTGTGTGTGTGTGTGTGTGTGTGTGTGTGTGTGTGTGTGTGTGTGTGTGTGTGTGTGTGTGTATGTGAGACGTCCAGGTTTGCACAGAATAGATGAAACTGGACTTAACAAAAAAGAGACAAATGCACAATGGTTTGGTTTGTGTGTCTGTTGAAAGCAGAAGCTTTTACTCTAACATCTTATTTAAAAGGTGGTTGTGGTTGTAAATGTCATGGAAATGTTGTGCTCATCTCTGGAACGGTCTGGTTCTCATGTTAACTGGAGAGGGGAGGCACAAAACAAACAGTATTACTTTATTTAAAAAACTATAGTCAAGGTCAGAAGTAATTTGTTCTTCAGACTCTGGCCTTCAGCACTTATAGATACTACAAGTGCCAACACTCAGCTTTAGCCTGAGTAGGTTTACATATATAGGAAGAACTGTTTGGGATATTAAGCTCTAAAAACGAAATCCTCCTGCCTTGTCAACATCGGACAGTGGAATCTCCCAGGGATAGAGTTTCATTTTTTTCTAAAGTTACTTATAGAAACCAGGGTCACAGCAGCTTGTTGAGGTAACTGGTTAAATCTGACGGGATCTGGATACAGTCCATGATTTAAATTGCTGTATTTCACAAGCGAATCCTGCCATCAGCCTTTCAATCAGCTCATCTCTGACCCCAATCTTCAAACCACTGCATCTTTTATCAGAATACATAAAAAAGTGGAATAACAAGATTATATATATATATGATTTTATGTAGTGTGTTGTTTGTGTACACTACATCTGCACGGAGGAGAGGGTCAGATGGCAAGCGCTTATTTTTCCAATCCCATTTCAGTTCTTTTAAAAATGAGCTCTTCATTTTACCTCTAGCCCTCCTGTCCCATCTGCCTCACCTTCCTTAGAAGATACACGTAGCCTTGGATCAATCTCACACCTAATGGAAAAGCCGTTTCTCAGAAGCTCATTCCAGATCGATCGTTTCCTGCTCCTTTGGGCATTCCCACCCAATTCCACATATGGAACCGGAGCCAGCTTAAATACTCTTTCCTCTACTGAAGTGGAAAAGTGCGGAGGGACAAAACACTGTGGTCGTAAAGTGTCTTACTATCCTGTCCACAAAGTATACACACAACGAGGTAAGAGAATTATGTGTGTGTGTTCTACAGTAAATGTTGTGCTTCTATGTACAAAAATAGAAAAGTAAATTTGAAACAAACTAACCTTCACTGCCCGCATACTTTAATACATCCTTTACATTGGCATGGTTAAGCAATCCATCCACAAGAGGGCAGCACAGAGTCGACGCCTGTAGCTTCTAACAAACTCATCAGTCTCCCCTCCAAAAATTTTAATTTCTTCCTTGTGTCCTATGGGTTTTTTTTGCTTGAAGTGTAAGCTACACTGCCCCCTTGCAAATTCTGGCAGCGCTGCTCTGTTTCTTATATTTAGTCTTTATCCATAAACTTTCAAAAGACATGCACAGATACGGATTCAATTAACTGTTTCCATTTATGTATCCAGTGTTGAGGATAAATGAGCCTTAAGTGAGTTTGTAAGAGAGGTATTGTATAATTGTATCCCACCTGAGCAATATCCTCATTACAAAAGCCAAAGCATCTCAATCGCCCCCTGGTGGCTGGCTGCAGTAAAGGTTGTAAACTGTGACGTACAAAACTATTTTAGTGGATGGGACAAACTAAAAACTCAAAGGACACGTCAAATACATTTTTCTCAAATATGGTTTCTGTCTGTCATTAGCTCTTATCGCAAGTGTAAAATTTTCCAAAGAGTTTTGTTTTTATTTGATGCTATAAAAACTAGACGAAATGTCATGATTGACAGCCCAGACCTGCCACAACTATCATTTGGTTTCCCTTCTGGTTACAGGAAGGAAGTAGAGACCTGTCATCCATCTTTATATACAGTCTATTGTATGGAAACATGCTGTTGCTCTGTTGCCCAGTAAAGGAGGCTACAATTCAGCAGCAATCAATACAAGCATTTATGTTTTATTAGAAGTTTCACAGCTACTCTGCAGCTCAGACAAGAGAAGCTCAGGTGAGCTGCTGAGAAAATATTTTAATGAACTGTGGGTCTTCTTGCTCCCTTGTATTTTGCAATGTCCAGTGTGTGCAGTGTTCTAGCACTACTGTGACTAAACAGTGTCACTGCGGTTCCTTTTCACATGAAGTATTTCAAGCAACTGAATATTTCATGTCTACTTTGAACTATTAGCAGTCAATTAATATTTTTGAATAGAAAAAAAGTTTAAGCTGCAACTTATACAGGATACACCAACACTCTTCAAGTTTCACAGTTCTCCAGCATGTCGAGAAACATGTTTAAAGGGTGGAAATGAGCCATGCACATCTAGCAATAACAGAAAATGAAGTCATAGATCATCAGTCAACATTTCAAGGTCACTTACTGCTGCTCTGTTCCTTGATATCTGCACGACAACATCATAGATTACTACATCAACTGATTCAAAGTTTTTAATTATTATTATTGTGTGTGTGTGCATGAGATCTCTGGTCTATAGGATCTCTGGCTCTGCTCTTCCATCTGAATTAAACTCAACCAATGCAGCACTCAGTCAGCTGTGTTTTTGCAGCTGTGTCCCATAACGAACATCTTATGGGTTTCAAACACGCCCCTATTTCTATAATCTATTCATCAGGTTGCACATATTGGCCTTTTCATTATTTTCCTGAGTATCATCCCTGCTTTGTTTTTGTTTTCCCAGCAGCTGCCCCGTAAGCAATAAGTGATGACACACTCATAACTCTGAGCGTAAGGCACTGACTGCCCTACTTTTGCACCTGTATGTGTGTGTATGTGTGTGTATGTGTGTGTATGTGTGTGTATGTGTGTGTATGTGTGCATGCGCTCCACTTCATGAGCTACGTCAGCAAAAGCCTACATATAGAATTCCCCATGAAATGCCCCACACTATGTATATACTGTCAGAAATAACATCCAATTATTCTTTCTAAAAGAAAACAAGTTCAAACCGTTTGAAAATCTGTTTCATCATGTCCATCTGAGGTCACACCAATACAATAAGAGACATGATTAGAGACATAGAGATATTTTTTCAGCAATAAAACTGTCATTTAAAAAAATCCGCCCAGGTAACCAGCTTTGTTCAACAGCATAAATGTATTTTTTCCTCACTGTGCTGCTTCACCAGATTAGACATGATCTTAATCTCAGTCAGAGCGGCTGGTTGTGATTTTTTCTCGTCTAAGGGAGCAGAACGTGTTTTAAAGGCAGCTCAGCCAAAGCTTTTGTTTATTAAGTTAATTTTAGCACAGTTTTGCATTCATGCAGTCTGCTGACATCTTCAC